CTTCTTTTGAGAAATATGTATTCAATTTTTTTGCCCATTTAAAAATCAGATTATTAGAATTTTTTCTTTAGAGTTGTTTGAATTCCTTATTTATTCTGATTACTATTCCCTTGTCAGATGGGTAGTTTGCAAATATTTTCTCCTAATCTGTGGGTCAGCTCTTTACTTATTTGTTTTCCTTGAGGTGGAGAAGATTTTAACTTGATGTGATCCTATTTGCCCATATTTGCTTTGGTTGCCTGTGCTTGTGGAATATGACTCAATAAATCTTTGCCAACTTCTGTGCTTGGACAGTTTTCCCAATGTTTTCTTTTAGTTTCATATTTTGATGTCTTAGATACAAGTCTTTAATCCATTTTATTTGATTTTTTTGTATATAGTGAGAAATAAGGGTCTAGTTTTATTCTTCTGCGTATGGATTTCTAGTTTTCCCAGTGCCATTTATTGAAGAGACTGTCTTTTCCCCCAAGGTAAGTTCTTGGCACCTTTGTCAAAAATGAGCTCACTGTAGATGTCTGGACTTGCTTCTGGGTTCTCTATTCTGTTTCATTGTTCTATAGGTCTCTTTTTATGTCAGTACCATACTGTTTTGGTTACTACAGCTCTGTAGCATAATTTGAAGTCAGGTAATGTACCTCCAGTTTTGTTCTTTTTGTTCAGGATAGCTTTGACTATTCTGGGTCTTTTTTGGTTCTATATACATTTTTGGATTCTTTTTTCTATTTCTTTGAAGAATGTTGTTGGTATTTTGATAAGGATTGCATTGAATCTGTACATCGCTTTGGCTAGTATGAACATTTTAACAATATTGATTCTTGCAATCCACGAACATGGAATATCTTTCTTTTTTCTGTCCTCTTCAGTTTCTTGCATCGGTGTTGTATTATTTCATTGTAGAGCTCTTTCACTTCTTTGATTAATTTCTAGGTATCTTATTTTATTTGTAGCTATTATAAATGGGGATCCCTTTTAAAATTTCTTTTTCAGACTGCTGTTGGTATATAGAAATGCTACTGACTTTTGTACGTTGATTTTGTATCCTGCAGTTTTACTGAATTGATCAGTTTTAATAGTTTTTTGGTGAAGTCTTTAGGTTTTTCCAATATAAAGTTATATCATCTGCAAACAAGGATAATTTGACTTCTTTCTTTCCAGTTTGGATGCCCTTACTTTCTCTTGTCTGATTGCTGTAGCTACAGCTTCCAGGACGATGTTGCAAAACAGTGGTGAAAGTAGGCATCATTGTTGTGTTCCATATCTTAGAGGAAAGGTGACTTTTTCCACTAGTGATATGATTTAGTTTCTTTTTATTTTATTTTTTTTATTTTGTGTGTATCTATTTTTTGGTTTGAGGTTACCAGAGACTTGGAAATACTATCTTATCACCCATTATCTAAAGCTGATAACAACTTAACACTGTTGGCCTAAAAAAATCAAGCAAGCGGCGGGCGCGGTGGCTCAAGCCTGTAATCCCAGCACTTTGGGAGGCCGAGGCGGGTGGATCACGAGGTCAACAGATCCAGACCATCCTGGTCAACATGGTGAAACCCCGTCTCTACTAAAAATTACAAAAAATTAGCTGGGCATGGTGGCGTGTGCCTGTAATCCTAGCTACTCAGGAGGCTGAGGCAGGAGAATTGCCTGAACCCAGGGGGCGGAGGTTGCGGTGAGCCGAGATTGCGCCAATGCACTCCAGCCTGGGTAACAGGAGTGAAACTCCGTCTCAAAAACAAAACAAAACAAAAATCAAACAAGCAAACAGAAAACTAATAAAGACTCTATGCCTTAATGTCATCTCCCACTTTTTAACTTTTTGTTGTTTCTATTTATATCTTACATGTTATCTATGTCTTGAAAAGCTGTTGTGGTTATTATTTTTGATTAGTTCATCTTTTAGTCTTTCTATTTAAGATGAGAACAGTTCACATACCAGTTACAGACTTATAATATGCTGTTTTCTTTTTCATGAATTTACATTAGCAGTGCTTTGTGTACCTTCAGATGATGATTTTTTTAATTGCTCATTGACATCCTTTTTTTTTCCTGAAAAGAACTCCCTTTAGCATTTCTTGTAGGACAGTTCCATTGTTGAAGTCCCTCAGGTTTTGTTTGTCTGGAAAAAATCTTTATTTCTCTTTCATGTTTGAAGGATATTTTCACCAGAAACACTATTCTAGGGTAAAAGGGTTTCTTTTCCTTCGGTTCTTTAAGTATGTCATGCCAATCTCTCCTGGCCCATAAGGTTTCCACTGAAAAGTCTGCTGCCAAACATATCGGAGCTCCATTGTATGTTACTTGTTTCTTTTCTCTTGCTGCTTTCAGGATCCATTCTTTATCTGTGACCTTCGGGAGTTTGATTATTAAATGCTTTGAGGTAGTCTTCTTTGGATTAAATTCACTTGGGGTTCTATAACCTTCTTGTACTTGAATGTTAGTATCTTTCCATAGGTTTGGGAAGTTCTGTGTTATTTTCCCTTTGAATAACCTTTCTACCCCTATCTATTCCTCTACTTCTTCTTTAAGGCCAACAACTCTTAGATTTGTCCTTTTGAGTCTTTTTTCTAGGTCTTGTAAGAATGTTTTATTCCTTTTTACTTTGTCTCCTCTGACTGTGTATTTTCCAATACCCTGTCTTCAAGTTTAACAATTCCTTCTGCTTGATCAATTCTGTTATTAAGAGATTCTGCTGCATTCTTCAATATGTCAATCACATTTTTTCAGCTCCAGAATCTCTGCTTGATTCTTTTTATTTTCATCTCTTTGCTAGATTTGTCTGGGAGAATTCTGATTTCCTTCTCTGTATTATCTTGAATTTATTTGAGTTTCCTCAAAGCAACTCTTTTGAATTCTTTGCCTTAAAAGTCACATATCTCTATTTCTATAGGATTGATCTTTGGTGCCTTATTTAGTTCATTTGGTGGGGTCATGTTTTCCTGGATTATTTTGATGCTAGTAAAACAACTGCTAGTTGTGTGTCAAAGATGGGAAGAAACAGACAAAACCCCTATACTGAATATTTTAATTTTTAATTATTTGTTATGAGTGGAACTACTCTTTGTCCAGCCCCATCTTCCTGAGGAAGTTATATGTTCCTGAGGGAGTTGTACGCACAGAAAAGATGCCAGACAAATGTAATCTTTTTATTCCTAGTTGGAGTGTGGCTCACAACACCTTTCATGATGAGTCTGAACCTAGGAGAGCCACTGAGATGCCTTTTCACTTGGGCTTGAGGCTCCAGCCGAGGCCTGGGTTGTAACTTCTTCCTATCAGCCCTGTTTTGATTATCATATGGCTTTCCTAGGTCAAGGAAGCTATGGGGGAAGGCAGTGCACAACTCTCTCCCGTGGATTCCCCCTAAAAAGTCCTAGAAGAGCTACATCCCATCAAAGAAATAATAAAACACACCCCCAATATGAGAGGACTCTAAAGAGACCCTGCTACATGAATGAGAAGGCTCTGCCTGCCTCTTGATGTGCCAACTCCTCCTTTTCTTAGCATGATGACACAATGCTGTTCTTAGCTCTGCCCAAGCCCATCAGTCCTTCTCAGGAGTGGGGGGCCAGGAGTGGAGGGGAAATGCTTTGAGCTAACCCAACAGGGTGGGTGGGTAATCAACATTGACCTAGAGGCTAAAGACATGGCAACATTCACACCAAATACAATCATTTTATTAGACACCTCTTGTTTTGCACCTCACAGACTCACCTCCTACCTTTTGCTGTAGCAACCAGCTTTGGTCAGATGTCATTGACAGGACCTCCTCTCAGCTTCAAGCAACTGGGGTCTGGGAAATGGAGGGGGTGTGGGAAACGGAGGGAGCAGAGTTGGAGAGATGAAGGCGGGCAGGGCAAAGCCTCTCCATCCATCTGGCAAACCCCTAACTCATCAAACCAGATCAAACAGTTCAGCAAAACACGTTTAAGCCACCCTCAGGATGACTGCAGGCAATCCAGGCATGGAGACTTAGTTTTAATTAGAAGAGAAAAACTTCAAGCCAGTCGCTCACGGGTGGCTCATGCTGGTAATCCCAGCACTTTCGGAGGCCAAGATCGGAGGATCACTTGAGGTCAGGAGTTCAAGAAGAGCTTGGCCAACATGGTGAAACCCTGTCTCTACTAAAAAAATACAAAAATTAGCTGGGTGTGGTGGCATGCACCTGTAATCCCAGCAACTCAGGAAGCTGAGACAGGACAATTGCTTGAACCCAGGAGGTGGAGGTTGCAGTGAGCCAAGATTATGCCACTGCATTCTAGTCTGGGCAACAAAATTGAGACTCTGCCTCAAAAAAAAAAAAAAAAAAAAAAAAGAAAGAAAGAAAGAAAGAAAGAAAGAAAGAAAGAAAGAAAGAAAGAAAGAAAAAAGAAAAACTTTAGATCTCCTAACCTGTGAAGTGAGCAAAAAAAATCTTTTTAGTCTTTTTTTTTCCCCTTCACTGGGCCTGGTGTGCCTTAAAAATGTTGAGGTGCCATTTTTGCTGTAACTGCATTTTAAGGATTCTGCCTTGCAACCATCTCTCTTTCAAAAGGCTTTTTCTTGTTTACAACAAGTTGTAGAACCGTAGTTGATTATATGTTATATTAGAAGTAGGAAGGGAGGGTCTTAGAGATCATTTAGTTCAGTGTCTCTTTTCATAAGATGCTTAATGGTATGTCATTAAGACACACCCCCTAGTTTGTGTCTGAGTCAGGTTTGTAACTCAGGTAGTCTGACTCCATGGTAACATCCCTTGTGGTTGACAAAAGTTATAAGTAATCCAAATTTTATCACTATACAGGGTGAAAAAACACCTGTAGGAAGTTGTGTAGGGGGAATTGATTTTGAAGTGTGAATTGAGGTAGATTCTCTGCTCCAGGTTTATTATTCTACTGAAAACCAAGAATTATAAACTAACACTTAGCTGTATGAGAAAGGGATTCCAGGGGAATATAGCAATTGGTTTTTCTTTTGCCTTTTGCACCTCCTATCAACGTGAGCAGGATCTGCATTTTCCTGTTTTACAGATTCAACTACAAAGGAAGAATTACGAACCGAAGCTCTACAACTTCATAAAGAAGAGGCCTTGATTAATAAATAACCTGACACCTTTCAGATGTAGCATAAGGAAAAGCATGGTGCCCCAATTTCTGGGAGTCACTGCACTTCACTTACCCTGGGGCCTGTTTTACAGGCATTTTCCTGCATAGTTAATTGTAGTTATGCCCAAAATAAACCTCATTTTATGTGGGACTATTCTATTCTGAGGGAATGATGTAAGCAAGAATATTGGCTGGAGTATCTTGAATATCTGTGATAGATGGCTCCTTAGAATGAATCCTAAATCTCCAAGGGACCTATTTTATCTTGTGATTTTGCTCACAGGTTCTAAGCTACTGCTGGGCAGGGTTCCAATTCTATATTCTCTGTCTTCTGGAAGCACTGATGAAATCACTCAGCGGCTACCAGCTTCCATCTCACTAGGCACCTCTTGGCTTCATCCCCACAGACTGAAAGCACGGAGGTGACTAATGTGTCTTCCCCTTCAAATTATTCACAAACCCCACATGACCTTTGGCAGGCAGGGGTTCTACCGTGATGCTTCTGACCGTGGGTAAGGGACATATGTGCTCACCGTAACTTGCTATTTCTCCTTGCTCCCTCGAGACCAGTGAGGCAGCTCTGTTAATGGTCAGGCATAGTTTGTTGGTGGCCCCCAAACAATCCATCGGCAGTGGACATATTACAGAAAACATGGCTTTGAGTCTTAGCTTAAACTGTATTTATGTAGCATGACGATAGGAAAAATATCTAATTGTATTTGAATTAAAATTCAAACAAAGGCCCCATGACTGGCTTGAAGATGCCCAGGTCCATATGCCATGTTTTCCAAGGAAGTCAAGATAAGAGAGGATGTGGTCTGTTCTGTCTTGAACGGTTCTGTTTCCAGACCATTTCTCAAAGTCACTGGAGGCCCGCTTCTAGGGAAATGATTACTAAACTGTTGATTATTTTCTTTGTATTGCTGGCTATTCCCAACCACAGGGAAAATATGAGGTAGCTGTGGAGTTTAAGGAAAGAAAATGTGTACAAAAATGAGAAGCCACGCCTGCCTGTAGCACTAGCAAACATCAAAGACGTCTGGTTTATTTGAATATTTCCAATAAACACCAGACACCCCAAACAAAATTAGTATTGGAACCAAATTAAAGAATTTGACTCAATTACCTAAAAAATAGCTATTGGATGAAAAAAATAAAGGCTAAAATAGTGTCTAATTACTGACTGGCCATTTTCAAAGTGGCTTCTCCTACATTATCCCATTTTTAAAAAAGTAAATTTGATCTTTTTAAATGTTAAAGTGAAGTGGTTCACAATTGCTTGAAATAAGCAAAGGACATTATATTTATACGCATGCAAATTACAAACCAGGCAAAACAGTCTCTTCTGCTGCTTTATATATTTTTGTCAACCATCATGGATTCATGGAAAGGTCTCAAATAGATAGAACAAAATGGATTTTAAAAAATTGTTTGAACTTAGCCTGTTTTTCATTTCATTCTCGCTGTCTTTGGTCTCACTTTCTCTGTTACCTTCCCTTGAATGGTGAACTATTATTACTTGCATGTGGATGGATTATTATTTAGTTTGCCAAACATACCATTTTTCCTCTCATTAAAATCTCATAGTTGCTCAGCTTCATTAAGATAAATGGAATTATTCATCTGTTTCCACCCCTTTGGCTATGGGGTCAACAAAATGATGTTAAGCAGGAGAGGACAGGGCTGGTGAACACTTTTAAATATCACTAAGTAATTTTAGGAAGGAGCTGGCCTACCACTGTCCTGAATGATGGATACGCTCTCAACCTTAATGCCCATTAATGATGTACATAATAACAGTTTGTATTGTAACCATGGCTGTTCAACACTTGAATTTTGTGACAGTTATAACCAGGAGTGAACATTTCTGAAATCTGATTAACATACACTGAAAAGTCAAAAACCAGAACAAAGCAAGACAGACAAAACCCCGAGCCTAACAAGCAGTCAAGGATGGCAAACCAAAAAAGAAAAAGAAACAAGAGTATAGCCAACTTTTTTTTTTAATTAGAGTATATTATACTTTCAAACTGGATACACTAGAAATTGGCAATGCAACATAAGATGCAAAGGAATATACCAGTTACTGTCAAAATGACCCTGTACAGCCTTGTAATGCAAAAAGCTTTATACAATACAAATTTTCAGTAATGTACACAAACCTTGACAGTGTGATCATCTGAACATAATATGAAGAGTTAAAAAAAGGACAGAAGAAAGAAAGTGCTGAGATCCCTAACTGCATTACTATATGGAAAAATAAGCTAGCTTTCATTGAAGAATGCATAGTGAAAACAACTGAAGTTAGTTGGTAGGTGAATTTCTCAAAGATGTTAGTGTTTTACACGGAAAGGATATCTATGGAATACATCCTTCCCTGAGTATCAACTGCAAACCAAATTCAGGGGTACATATTTTCTAGGGTGGAGTCTGAAAAATGCTGTAGATTTTTTTCTTTATTAATAACAATAATAATATAAAAAGTCAAACAAACTCCCAACACACCTGTTCTCACTCAGAAAACTTTTATAATTTACCAGAAAGATTGATGACTCTTTCCAAAGTGCTAAAAAAGTTGCCCAATTATATTAAGCATTACTAAGTCATTCAAATACAAGTTCAGTGGCAAGCAGTGAAATGCATGGCATTTGAACAGTAAACGTCTCCTTCCTTCACCCCTCTTACTCTTGAAAGTTGCAACCCTAAGACCTCCTATTGCACAAGTGGCATGCTGTAAAACCTATAGTCCGAATTGTCAGGGCCGCCCTTTCAGGTTTTTAACCCACTGGTGCTTAAGTGTTATTCACCTTTTCTACCAGCCTCTGTGGGATTATAGCCCTCTTTCCTGTCATCACTGAACTTGTAATTTTGAAAACATATTGTTAGCCTAGTGGCACATTCTCCATTATATGGGGATAAAGACATGACTGGAATAAAGACATGACTTAAAAAAAAAAAAACCAACAAAAAAACCATCCCACCCATAAGCCCAGAATTCTTGGAGTGTATTGTCCATAACTATCTTTAGTGTCTTTTACTGAGACATTGATGTGGCGAGGTTGAACATCATTTCAAACCTGGCCAAGAGCAAAGGTCTCTGCTGGAGAATGACTGAGGATTTGGGAGCTTCCCTCCCTAGCTGGTTTGGCCTCCCTGACCCTGTGGGCATCTCCTTAGTGTAAACAGGTTTGCCAGGGCACCAAGCAGGCTCCCCATCCATGGTGGGTGACTGGCAAAGGGAGGTGTAGCACACCTGCTGGGTGTGGGGAGGAGGGACTGGCATGGAGGGAACTGGGGAGAGCATGGTGTGGACAGACAGTACAGTCTTCTGGCTTCCTGTAGAACTGTACTAATTTCCAGGGAGCTTTCAGCAAAGCAAACTGACTAGAGGAAGAATCTTAGGGATGCTTTTATTTTCCCCTGGTGAAACAGATTTTAAAAAACCCCAACTCTTAGGATAACACATGATGGAAAACAGCAACACAGAAAGAACGCATTCCTCCTGTACACCAGTTCTCCAATAGATAAATAATATATAAACTTTTATATTCCAAACTTCCCATTATGATACAAAGAACATTTCTTCCTGCTCTTTCAGCCTGTTTCATACTGGAAATTCTGTTGTTTTAAAAATACAAGCAATGAATGTATTCAGCCAAAGATTTTTTTTCCTTTTTTCTTTTTAAATCACCCATTACTTTTTAAGATTAGCAAAGGGCTTTACAACCAACCCACACCTGCTTCCTGCTGCAATAAAGTGCTGCACATAAATTGCCATTTTAATGACCACAAAATAAGAGCTTTTAAATAAGTATAAAGTTAGCCTCCTAGCAGGTTACATCCACCAGGCGTTAACAAAATGGAATACAGAGTTATTAATAACATGGAGGATACCGCGATAGCCAGAGGATCAGCAAAACACAATGGAAACTTGTCAGGGGCATAAACTGAACCATAAGACTAAACAGCACCTTTTTGTTGCGTCATTATATGTCAAAGAGGTTGTGGCTAAATCTTCAAACATACAGTCTTCTCATTCCATAAAAAAGGTACATTTTCTTCCTTTTACTTTTTTTTTTTTTCAGATGAGAAACAAAAACTAGTGCAAGACCATAGCACTGTGCAAAACTGCCGTTTCTTTTTTTTTAGTCTGAGCATTTATACCCAGAAATTATCCAAACCCCTTTTAATCTCCTTGGCTGGATTTATCAACCATAAATTTTTTCACTCATACATTTCTTTTTCCTGCAAACAAATGGTAACCACTGAATTAATACATCATATATATATATATAATCTGCCCTTAAAAAAATGATGCACGTGTGTGTGTGTGTGTGCACCGTCCACATCTGTCTACGTGTGGGCACATACACACAAAATACACTTAAGTTCTGTGATGTTAGCTGCAGTGCTGCGAGATATTTCTTCCAGATCAGTCACTCGATTCCTCGCATCTTCATCACCAGAGAAGATCTGAGCACAGGGTCTCCAGCGCTCTGGCGGAAATCTCCAGCAGCACTGCAGATATCTACCATTCCTTCATCGACTAAGCACCAGGCCCTACCACTCTGTAGCCGTCAAAGAGAGAGGGAAAGGTGATGAAGGAGCACAGGGAGAGACAGCTGTGGATGAACCACCCAGGAGGGAAAAGAATGTTCATCGCTGTTGAAGAAGCCAGTACAAAGAATGTGCAATAGAAATGTCACGGCACGCGACACACGGCTTTCTCTTTCAGAATCCGCGAACGCCCACGCACCCCATTCACCCAACAGAAAGCCAAATGCACCGGTATACAAGCTTACAAGTGCTGATTGCTATTAAGGACACTCTCTTTAGGGTTTAACAAGACAAGATTCCTTTCAGAGAAAAGTACGGAGAAGGGCTGAGAGTGGGAGTGGGTGGCTGGGGAGGCATGCCTCTGAAGGTAGAAGTATGCAGTAGGTCACCTCTCTGAAGATTGGATAAAGCAGCTTTCAGGTCAATGCAATAGGTATACACACAGAGCCAATTCTCTATTCCTTACTAAAGATATACAGTACACATGTTTCAGACCCATGGGGGCCTGTAGGTTTTGCAGCAACATACACCTGCTGGGGTTGTGTTTAAGTTTTGAGGGTTTTTTTTTTTTGTCTTTGTCTCTTTGTTTTTTTGGTACAGAACATGGCTGCCCTCAGACAGTCTCTGCTCTTTCTCTCAGTCCGAGATAGGCGAGGAAGGAGTGTTTGGGCGAGGGAATACTGGGAGGCGCAGTCTGAGGTCGGGGAGGGTGGAATGTGAGATCCAAGTGGTTCTTGGGGTATAACATTGTCAAGGGAATGAGATGGGCAAAATCTGAGTTCCGGTACTTGTCAAAGCGCAAAGGGGAGCCGTTGAAGGCCAAAGCCTTGAGTGCCAGGTTGGGCTCTGAGCTGCTGCCGTGGGCTGCCGACAGGGCCACGGTCTGCAGAGCCTGGGAGGCGGACATGACTGACAGGGGAGACAAGAGATTCCGGGAGCTCCCGACCACCAGGAGCGGGGCCCCGGGGCCGGCTGGTTCCTTGGGGGCTGGACACAGGCCCTTCTTGTCCTCCTCGGGGCAGTCCCCACTCTGGTGCTTCTTGACGTGGCGGCTGAAGACGAAAGGGTGTGTGGTCTTGAACAGGCACTCTTCGCAGCTGAAGGTCTGGCGTGGGGCGTGCTTCAGCTTCTTGTGCAGGTTGAGATTGTCCTTGCGCTTGCAGCTGTAGCTGCACTGGTCACAGTGGAAGGGCCGCTCCCCGGTGTGGACGCGCACGTGCTCGATGAGCTTGTTGGCGGTCTTAGACAGGTAGCCGCACTGGTCGCACTTGTAGTGGTTGCCCAGGCGGTGCTCCCGGGTGTGCGTCTCCAGCTCCAGCTGGTTGGCCTTCACCGTCTGGCAGATCCGGCACTTGTACTCCATCTTGTAGTGGGTCTTGAGGTGGCACTCCATGGCAGCGGGGCGGTTGGTGGAATAAATGCAGAATGGGCACCTGCCGGGGGAAGCAGCGCAAGGGAGGTTCAGTTGGGACAGTTCCGAGGCAGCCCCGCTTCTCCCCTCCTCACCAGCCTTCCCTCACACCGCCCCCCAGTGTCTGAGGCCTGCCCAGCCCAGCCCTGCCGCCTCTCAGGGGTGGAACAGCCCTTTTTGGCTCTCCCTGCTGACAGAGCAGTCCCCACTGACAAGCAGCTCTGGCGAGGGCCGCTCAGCCTATTCTGGGTCTCCTGGCCAGCACAGCCAAGGCCAGCCCTCAGGAAGGGGGTCAGAGAAAGTGCCAGGAATCAATTTCCTGGTGCTCCCCTCCAGCCCCCTCCCAACCCCTTGGAGCCCTCCCCACTCCCGACCAGACAGAGCAGAGGTCTAAACCTCCTGACCTCCCCTCTAGATGGGAGCAACACAAAGAATCGACTTTTCATGCACCACACCAAGCACACGCAGAAAGGCTAAGAGGTTTTAAAGAACAGCTTATAGGGGGAGCGCTACCTCCAGCAAACAGAAAGTCACAGGGGTCAGAATCGTGCTTATTAAGGGGTTGTTAGGATGAGAAGGCCTGTGTGTGTCTCTCTGCGTGAGTGTGTGCGTGTGTACATATCTATGTACTCATAAAACGTATCTCCTTACAGGACTGGCTCTTGATCAGGAAAGGAAGCTGAGGACTATGGCAGGGGCATGGGAGGAGAAGGAAGCCCACCCAAACGGCCCATCTGCTAATGAGGAAGGGAGGAGGGAGGAGACAGCTGCTATCTGGAGCTCAAAGACATTATTAATACATGATTATGCCGTAGAAATGGTAATAATCCAACTGGATCGGAAATTCTCAGAGGGCAGGAACGAATCTTACATTTCCTCTGCATTCTCTGCAGTTCTTGGTAGAGTACTCAGCACATGGTAAGCACTCAGGACATACTGGTTCATTATTTGAGTGGTCTCTACAGGCAATTTAGGTAGATTCTGGAAGGGTGGATGCTGGTCTCAGCTCCATCACCTTATCAGGCTGGAGCTGGATACCCTAGGATGAGCCTGGGCCTCTCTGTGGCTCAGTTTCTCCATCCTTTGCAGTGAGGCTACGCTACCACCAACCCTCCTGGCTGTCCAGAGGGGCCACAAGGAGTGGTGAGGCCACGTTAACAAACTCCGCTGAGCTTCTCTTTTAGAAGCTGCCAGGCTGGAGTCAGTGGCTTAGAGGAGAATGGTAGCGTGTTTGCTCTCTTTCCACAAAGAATGCAAATGCAAAAGTGGCTGCCTCAGCTCTTGCTCGGCTCCTGCAGGGCAGGGCCCGGGAGTGGACTGTCCTCGGAGGGTCTGGAGAGAGGTGTTCAGCAGAGCCCAACACAACCAAGTGCACCGTGCACGGCCTCCTCAGCGCCAAGCTCGCCGTTAGCCTTTGAACCTCAGCTCACAGAAGAGTGCACACGAGAGAAATATAAAGCCCATTCCCAGGTCAGGTGCACACACAACCCCTACGCCAAGCTGGGCCTTACCTAGAGGAGTCTGAAACTCACCACTGTCCTGAGCTACGGCAAAAGAAAAATAATAGTATAATCTTATTTGATCTGCATTATGAACAGGATATAGAGTACAAGCAGTTCCATCACAGAAAAGCAATTTAGACATTGGCAGTCTGTTTCATTTTAAGGACATTTCTGTGACCCACAGCTCAATCTTTCTTTCACTGCTCAGGCAAAGTGCTAAGGGTTTTTTTCCGTGCTCCCGTTATTTTCTTAAAGACACTCTCTCAGGCAAATTAATTCTCTGATATGGCAAAGGAAACAAAACAAAACAAAACGGAGACTCACTGTATAGCCAGAAGGCATTATCAATTTTTTCAAAGTATTCTTCTACTTGGTCATCCTAGAACATAAACTATTACACAGGGGACGGTTAGCACCGCACGGGAAGAGTCTGTACCAGCAAAAGCATCAGAGTTCACTGTGC